ACCAACTTAATCTAGACAGTTAATTTTGTGGCATAGGCACATATGGACGCACTTGATAGGTGGTGATAAAGCAGTAAACATAAAGACCTAAACGTCAGGCGACCTAATAACAAGGCAAAGAGTCAAAATATTCAAAAGTGAACACATGTTTTTATGTCTACAATTTTTTTAAATAATCGATTGCACTTTGGAGGGTTTGGTAGACTACTACGGGCCCTTTTCTAGAATACTATTTAATCTTGGGGTGCTATATTACAAATGATGCGTGCCACTGTGTCATGGGTTATTTATAAAGAGTTCTCACGAGCCTCAGTATTACCCTCAGTGGTTGTTTGATCCCTTTAATAAACAAAGAGATTTTGGTTTGACGTTGTTATAATATATTGGTTTTCTGAAATCCTGCAGATGACACTTTGTCTAATACCACCGTCCGACGAGCATATTGAAGGCCTTGAGAGCAAGCTTCTTCAAAGTATCGGCGAACTAGCTCACGGTTGCGCACTTATCGGCGTGCGTTGGGTCGCCGGCCCTGTAAAGAGTTTCGTTGCGAAAGCCTTTAACGAGCCCGTCGGACAGCATTATAACAGTCTACGGAAGCGCTTCTGAATCTATATTTATTTATAGTTAATATATTTCTGATACATATATTGCCGGCGGAAGTCAAAACAGCCGTTGTTCTTTTTAAACAACAAAACTGCTCATAAAAAAAAAAAGAAAGAGACAGGGGAAAAGGGAGCGACAAACACAACGAAGTCTAAAATTTTATTTAAATTTCGTTGTGTTTGTCTCTTTTGTTTACTCTGTCTCGTGGTTTTTTTTTATATGAACATTCGCCAGCTGGGAAGCTCCATAATCCTTATTTTTGGAAATTGCCCACTTAGCGGCAGTTACGACGAACATATTGATTACTCGTCATATTCTTACTGAATGCTTTTCGGGTTTGACTGCGTGTATTATATTTGTATATTAGAGTACTTATCAAATACGGATTATTTATAATAACTATGACTGAGTCTCGCTGTCAAGCGGGTGATATTATCGAAATTTCTCCAGATTGATTTTGTTTAATGAAACGTTGTCGCTGACGGCCCACTGATTATTTAACTAACGGCGCCTTCTAATGTTAACGTAGAAACGCCTAAGATAGAAACCTGCACTAAACTACTGATCTGCTTTAACTTTTTAAATACAACTGTTATTATATATTTAACGTGTAGAAAGGGCCTTTCCATCAAAAGGGAACGTGTGCCCAGAACTTGCGTAGCAGAATACAATATTAGCAAATGTAAAAAAAAACACAAAAAGTACCGAATTTTATGCAATTTACTGATTCTAATTGACCTGACGCAGAGGCTTTTGCGAATGTAAATGTCGCAAGGCACTCAGCTTCAAATACAATTACAGTCCCTATGTAGATGGTAAGTAGAATTCATAAACACTCGAATAAGTTTAAGTTCAGAATGCAATTATCAGTTCCCCTGGAGAAGCGGAGAGCGCAGATGATTGCACATTCTACGTCTCTGTGGCAGTAACATATCCCATATTTTGCTGCAGCAAAGCACACTTTTGATTGATTGGCATATCATAAAAGCCGCAACAGTTCCGCTCTTACTACCGATGTGAATAAAAAGTTACTCCAGGAAATACCACATACAGTCCTGGTAATTCTACTGCTGGTATTTGGGGCGCGGCAATAAAAGATGGGTGACCGGGTACAAGGTGTAGGCAAATAAAGTTGTGTGCAAATAATCGATTTGTCGAATTTGAATGGAATAAATATTTTCCAAATAATTATATTCAAAGTGTGAATTCCTAGTATTTGAGTTTTCGTAATCTCGATAAAACAAATAACAGCACCACTTACGACAAAAAAAAAAAAAAGATTTATTGAGAAATGCTGTTTATCCGGCGATATAGATTTCACGGGGCTTTGTTGGGTGTAGATCAAGCCTGACTTAAGAAGTCTTGACTAACAAACAATTTCACCAAGAAGTAGTTTGTTTCTTGCTTTTTTCGAAAAGAACCCTCGTGTTCCCCATTTTTTGAAAGCGCTTGACCAAAGCCTATAAAGCATTCATGTCGACATTTTGAATTCAAGTATCTGGCATCGCCTACACCGGCCTCGCTCATTAGAAACCTTTTTTCGGGCGTTACGCTCATGATATGACATATCATTGTAAATAGAACACCAATTGCAGCGATAATTGAACCGGCCTCTTGCGCCCATCCGTCGCTCCCCGCAGCGTCGAGCGAGGGGCCAGGGCGGGTGGCGCGAGACGTCAATGGCCTCAGAACGTAGAGTCATGTCCGCCCGTTTCTCCAGCGCGCTGCGTATCCACACGACGACGAATGGAAGAATCCGCCAGCCGCCAACTGTGTCTTACGTTTGTCGTATAAGTTTGGTTACTATAACCATTTACATTCTTGCTATACTGCGTTTCGCTTTACGTCCAACAGCGGCCAATACTATAGACCGCTCCATTAGGGTCATAGTAGAGAGGGTAAAAAGAGAAAAAAACGCCCTCCCCCTGTTACCCGCATGTCATCTGCTCCGCCGAGTGGGCAGTACTTAGCGTCCGGCTGGCGTACAAACTCTCTTTAAAATCGCGTCATTTTGGAACTTTCAAGCGCACATGCGCAGATTTTGGTATGCCAGTTATCGTGTATTACTATGCTAGATAAAAGGACTAACAGAGTCCAATTGCGCTGTTATCCGCGTGCAAATAAAAATAAAAAAATAGGGAAAACTTTGTCAGACTGGCCGGTCTCTCCGGCGAAAAGTGAATCCGGTGGCTGTACCTTTTTTGCTATACAGAGTTCGTACTGGTGTAGGCCTTTAGCGACCATGAGTGGATGTCTGAAGTTATAAATAAAAACGTGCTCTCCTGCCGCATTACACGCAGTAGTTGAGGGTAGTATTGCCGGCTGCCTCAACTGGTATTTAAGTAACGGAAAAAAGATATCTCAGTTGATCATTTACCGAAGTAGAACAACAGAGAGCTCTAGGCTGATTTTGGAGTAGCCATAACTATTCTAAGGACGCGAACCACTTTACAATGGCAGCCACGAGCGAGAGTTTGATATTCCGTGCAGCCCGCCGATACAGCCCAAAGATGGAGAATGGCAACATCCCGTTTTGTCGTCGGCTAGCGGAGTCGGGCGCGTGCCCTCTCTCTCGTTTTACCCTGCCGAACCTGCTGAGTTTCCCGGATGTATGGAGAGGGCGCTGCTGTCGAACAAAATGGTGCCGCCCAGAGAGCGCTAAATGGAATGGTCTATAATCCGACACAGTTCACCAAGCAGCGTCGAAAAGTTCGTCGTCACGGTACACAACGTCTCTGTGTGGTTGTCTATCGCCAATTATCACCCACAGTGAATGCCCCGCGGTCCTACGCTTCCTTTTCTCTGCGTAATAGGGTCTATTCACTTGTGAGTCATCACCCACAAACATGACCGCCGAGCGATAAAGCGGAACTTTTATTCGTGAGCTTGGTGAAAAATAAAAGAGGGCAAAGCAAACTCGCCTATCGGCAAACCGCTATGGCCTTCGGCGGCCATGCTTGTGTGTAGTGACTCGACATTAAAAGGCGGTCTGACGTCATGTGAATAGACTCTATACTTTAGCTGCTCTACATAAACAATGAGCGCCGTGACGATGCACTTTTGGCGCTTTCTGAATGGTTCTATCAGATCATAGCGTTGACTGCAGTCGGACTTAAAAGAGCGATGCATCATTCTCCGTGCTTTCAGTAAATACCGCCTTAGAACTGATCCCTTACATTCATAGCCCACGAAACACACCTTCCTTAATCTTCTCCACAAAATGGCACTCTCAAAAAAAAAAAAAAAAAGAACTCTACAAAAAACAAGAAGCGTCAACCCCTGAGCAACCAGGTGATCTCAAGCCAATTACATGCCGCCTGCGTTTCAGATAGCTACGCGTTTGGGGTGGTTGATGAAGAGGACACGCGCTGTGTTCCACGGTTTGTTAAGGTTCCACTATTCGCGTCCGCGTCATGTACCGATTTGGCAGGAGCCACTACCACAATGCATCGCGATAATCAATTGTCACGGTCCCAAACCAAATTCTCGCCCAATGATTTCGTCGACTGCTTAAGACGCATTTAAATAACCTCATAGTGGGGATCGCATTGTCGACAACGCCAACAATGTGATCACTACCAATTTATCATCAAGTTTTGCAAAGGAAGAATACAGGAAAATTGCTTGCTTTGTCCTTGAATTTACGCGGCGACAGAAAGGATTCTTTGCGAGTGGCATCACATGCGAATATATATACTTAGGCCCTATTAGGGACTGTAAGCCTGTGTAAAGTGAAAAACATTCCTACCCAGTATCGTTGCACGGTTTATTAAAGTGAAACGGAATATAGCCTCTTCATTGCGCGTGCCTTGCAGCACACGAAAAGCTTTTCTTTTCATCTATGCAGCTTTAGCTTAGTCTTGTGATTATTGCGAATAAAATTCTTGGTATCCGTATATTATTCGATATTTGACTTCTTCAACAACATTTGGCACTGTCTGAGTCTATCTCGATTCGAGCTCGAGGGCGACTTCAAACAGATGTTATAACTAGTTAGAAAAAGGGATGAGGATTTTGTATCTAGGGCTTCAAGTAAGTGTTTCTAGGGAGAAAAAAAGCTCAGAGGGAACCTAGTGAGACCAGCGATAATCGACATTTTAGCTTGTAGTCACCATAAAAAGCTTACCTACATAAAAAATAACATGCGAACGTATGTCGCGGGTTGTTTACATTGAATGATTGCCAATATTGTGCATTTTAACAATGTTCACTCAAATTTACGTTCTAATTGATATTAAAAATATGTCGCATTATATGTCACAACAAGTTTTTGATTTGAATATAAATACCACATTAGGAAGTCCAATAAGAAACCTCTGCGACGAAAATATTAACGTAAAACACGTGATGCCCCTTCATAAATCGCTTTTGTGGTTTACGGATGGTACTTACACACTAAATGTATCGATGAGAGCTAAGGAAAGGTAATTAGCCAAAGAATCCATGGCCGATTCCTCCGTAACCGCCACCGTAGTTGCCACCGTAAGTGCCGTGGTAAGTCCCGCCGTAGGAACCACCGTAAGAGCCTCCGTAGCCGCCGCCGAATCCCCCGAGACCACCATAGCCAAAGCCACCTAGTCCTCGGCCAATTCCACCGTAGCCAAGGCCGCCTCCACGGCCAAGGCCGCCGTAGCCCAATCCGCCGTATCCTCCTCCAAGTCCTCCTCCGCCGTGGCCCAATCCGCCGAATCCTCCTCCAAGTCCTCCTCCACCGTGGCCCAGCCCGCCGAATCCGCCGAATCCACCTCCACGGCCAAGACCACCATGTCCGAAGCCACCGTGTCCACCACCGAAGCCACCGTGTCCACCCCCGAAGCCACCGTGACCACCACCGAAGCCAAGGCCAAACGTGGCGGAGGAGAGGGCAAGGGCACCGCAGAGGGTCGCAATGAAAAGCTAAAAATATATATAAAAAATATAAAAAAAAAAAGTCTTTTGGCATTTTTGGGCAGCCTCAAACTTCGAAAGTCTTCTCTCAACTTCAGTTGTAATTTCATAGAACGCCTGGTCAAAGGCGTTTCGAGATATTTGGAGCATCTCTCTAGTTTACCAGGTAGAAAAAGTAGCCAGATACTGGCGCATTCTCTGCGTGGGAAGCATGGACTGTTGCATAAATTCATAGCCCTTTCGCCAAGTGAGTAAAATTGTTTTAGTCATCACGCGTCGGCATTAGTAAAACAGTTCAGTTGGAAAGCTGCCATATTGTATTAGAATAAGCTCCCTAAACGCTTTTGTGTCATCAGACAATGCACTCTTGAGAGGTATCCAAACGAGACATTCAATTTTCTAAGCAAATGCAGTAGGGCACAATTCAATCTACATTGTTCGTTTACGTTTAAACGTAAAAAAGTAAATTGCCAACAAATGAAGCTTCAGTTTGATATCAATTTACGCTCTGCTCAAAAATTAAATTATATATATAAAAAAACAAAAAACTAAACGCACATAAAATAGAGGTGAAAAAGGATTGCTAAGGCACTCGGGGTCTTTAAACGAACAGTAAAAAGTACTCGAGAGTTAATGTGATTTCCTTTTTGCCTTCAATTCTTTTTGTTAACCAAACGCCTTAATGACGCACCATAACGCTGTTTTCCCGTTGACGTATAGAGGTCTGTAGAAAAATTGTGAACTTTACTCGGCAATTTGATTATGAAAAATCGCTGGTTCGATATTTCCACACAGAAACTTCTCCATCCAGCTGCACCGTAATGGCAAATTTCAAAAATGTCCAGAATACATAACCAATTTGTGCGATTTCTTTGCAGGATGTCAGATTAAAGTTTTCGCTTTTCAAGAAAACAAAGACAAAAACAAAACACAACATGCTCCCAATCACTAGCGAAGCTATATTTATCCAGGGGCCCTAATCTGGACACTTGGCGAAAAAGTTGGCGAGAAATCCTGCGGCCCTGATTGGCCGGCGCCAAGGTCAAGTGCGGCGTTGGCCAATCACGCCCGCCAGATTTCTCGCCGAGCTTCTCGCAAGTGTCCAGATTAGGGCTCCAGGTTGCTGTATTTCAGCAATACTTTTGAAGACGGCCCGCAGCCACGTAGTGTGCTTATATTAGTTACCAGCTGAAAAAAAAGCACGAAAGTCATTTTAAAATAATTAACGAATTACTCTAAAAAACAAAAACCCGTGCGTCTACTTTCCCGCAAAATACTCGGAGAGCCAATCACCGCGCATTACGGAGGCAGCTCAGCATATGACGATGCTGAAACATATGTTTAGACCAAAAAACGCAGTCTGAGTTGTGATATTAAGCAATGCAAGCGTGACGTTTTGCATTGCTTAATGTCTCAACTGAGACTGCTTTTTTTGTTCTAAACATATGTTTCAGCATCGTCATACGCTGAGCTGTCTCCGTAATTTGCGATGATTGGCTCTTTGGGTGTTGTGCGGGAAAGGAGACGAACTTTTTTTTTTTTTTTCAGAGTGTAAATTAAAGTAAGCTTTAATTTTCAGGCTCCCACAGCTTATCGACCTAAATATGTTGGGCAAGAAATAGACTTTCTGAAGAAAGTAATATCGCAAAAAGTTGAAGATTGTTGTCAATGAGTTACCCGGTATCAATATATGCCAAAGAAAAAGGTTTATTGGCAGCAATGTATATACTTGAAATTTTATAAGGTATTAAAGTTAAGGCTGACATAACAGAACTGAGCTTAAAACTATAGTGGGAGCACGCACACATGTAGACACGAAAGCTTTCTCAAACTTACCGGAGACTTCATGGCGTTCTTCGTTTCTCCTTTTTAGAGGACCTTAGCCGGCTGCAATAGCGTGGTTCTCGAGCAGCTTCTTCGCTTTTTATAGGTCCCGGAAGGACCGGTACATACCACTGTCTCTTTGCATTTTGTTTTGTTCGCGCTCGCATTAGCGTAGACTGTGCGTGCTCTTGTTTTGCATTCACTTTGGATACTTGCTCCTTTTTCGCGGCCTTCCAGTTAGGAACTTAGTTTTCTCTTGTCAAGCCAGCACTTTTAGTCGTTTTTATTCTTATTCGCGCTGAGGAAGAAAGTTGCGCAAGCTTTCAATTTTACGACCTAATTTTATTGTCTGTCTTCTGAACATGTTAGTTAAATAATGGTAGAAATTGTCGGTTAAGGCTGAACGTCGAGAGGGGATCTAGTTTTAGGCGATGGTTTTAAAATGTTCTGAAGTAATTAAAAAGCAATATAGGGAACTGGACGACACAAATATGTTCCTCATAAGTTTGTTTTCTTCCAAAAAAATTATATTTGATTTTAATTAAAAATTAATAGCTGACTCCTGACTTCTTTAAACATTTGAGGAGCGGATATATAAGATGTCGTGTTGAACGTGCCTGAAATAAACAACATAAAGCTTATGAAACTCTTGTTTGCAACTGATCCAGCTATCTTTAAAAGAAGTTAGTCCATGACAATGTTTACTAAGAAGCGAACGTCTGAAGAGAAACTGTATAGTAATAAACTGAAGAAACCCAGAAAATTAACCTACGTTTTGAGGAGAATGATGCCTTTTATAAGTGTAACCGTAGTTTGTTATATGTACATGCAAACTATGAAACCCATTAAATCTCCTGGAGTTATAGGCAAAGTAGCAAACAATGAAAAGATTCAAGCTTCTTATGACTGAAATAAGAAAAACTTTACTCAAAAGTATTTTTTTTTGTTTGCAAGCGAAAAGAAATTTATATACTGTTTTATTTTTTACAAAATTTATAAATATACAGCTTCCCATTGTAGGAATCACGGTAGACGCGAAGTTTCGTTGGATACACGGGATCATGATTAAGAGTGTCGCCATCGTGACTTTCTGTTCAATTATGCTTTTCTATGGTGAGTAGATAATTTCTGCTGAGCTATTTGTATAAACGCCGTTAAGGTTTCTATACTGATTGGGCTAATGAATTTTCGACCTTGGAACAGATTTGAAGAAGACCATTTTATCCATCTGCCTCGTTTAAAGTTTGAATATATAGATGCAAAGTACACCATTTCATATTGGTTTAGTTATTTTTTTTTCATTATTTATTTTAGGTATCCCACAGCGCCCACGAAAACATCATAGGAAGGGGAGATGAAAAAAAAATTAAACACGCCACGACACATAGAAGAACGCACGCGTTGCCTACAGCGGATACAAAAGTGGAAAAACAGTGAACATTATAACATATGCTTATGCGTTATATAAAAATACAAAATTATTGATTCCCCCCCGAAGTGGACCGAAAGTTTGCTATGCGATCGATGTTCAACAGGAGAGCCATACAGTCACCAAGGGCAGGGCATTTACTCCGCAATACATAGCGCAGTGATCAACGTGCTGGCGTATTGCAGACAAAATGTTGACAACACTGTAGTTGCTAAATATAACAAATGAAAGTGATTCTAAAACAGAGCTATATGGCACTCCAGAAGTGACATAGATAGAGTAAAATAATTTGTTGCTATTAGCACTGCGTGGTCGTACCATTTAGATAGTTCGCTAGCCATCTAAGAGCGTAACTATTTATTTAAGTGGCTTTATATTGCGAAAAATAAATTTGTGTGGCATAAGTTCAAACGCACTTCGGAAATCGAGAAAAACCCAATCTGATTGAAGACTTTTTCTTATATGTGTACGTTAAATTGCGTTATAATTTTATAATTGGAGTTGTACACGACATGCCTCGATAAAATGCACATTGAACGGCAGTGAAACAATTGTTATATGGGAGATGTACTTGGCTTATGTAAATAATATTTCTTTATTATTATTTACTTTAAAGGCGTCTTTTCGGGCGCATTACATAAGGTGGGATCACCGGAAAGAGTGATACATAATGAACATGATGAAAAAGTTTACCATTTGGATGTATAAATACTATAAAATCAAAGAATACGAAATACGCAAGTTCGTAAACATATTAGTCATAACACAAACGCGCGAAAAGTTCCTTAGACAGTATGAAATATATATTAGTCCCAATGTGGTCCGGCAAGTTGTTAAATCCTGTATTGCTCGATGTTAAAGTGGGAATATGAAAGAGGTAGTATGAGACGGATATTGCTGAAGTTTGCACAAATTATATGTTTGAGAAGAAATATACAAGTCTGATTGGCTATAAGTATTTTTGAAGTATAAGGAACTGTATTAAAAGTAATTAAAAACACACATTCGGCTAGATTGTCGCCTAGTGGTTAATGAAAGGTGGAGGCTGCTTTCGGGTGAAAAATCGTTTAATGTAAAGCGGGTTGCTTTCTTTTGAACAGAATCTAATTTAGTACTTCGTAATTTCCATGTGTTGGCCATCTCATACCGGCGTATTCAAGTTTAGGGCGAATTATTACTTTATTTTCGCCTAATTTTGTTGCAGAAAGAGCAAAGTCGAGGCACCGTCTAAGAACCCTAATGATTTCAGTTAACTAGCGATCAGGTTATCGATAAGCTGGTTTCATGATAAATGTTTGGAGATGTGAAGGCCGATATACTTATACAGCGAAGCATATGTTTGTTTTAAAATTAGTAACGTGTACTGAACAGATGAATGATTCCTTTATTGTTTGGTGAAACGGTCATTTTTTTGCATTTTCCACGGTTAATGTGTGTTTGCTAGCCGGAGGACCAGAATATTATAGAGTGTAAGTCATTTTGAAGAAGGCAATGACCTGCTCGTTCAGTAATATGTTTGTAGAAGACACAGTTATCTGCAAATACGCGAATAATCGATTTAATTGGAGAAGAACGATTATTGATGTAAATCAGAAAGAGTAGTGGGCCGAGAACGCTACCTTGTACGACGCCTGAGATTACCGGTAATGAGCTAGATAATGAATTATTTACCGAGACTGACTGTTGTCTGTTTGTTAGGAATGATATTACCCATGTGACGACTAAGGGGCTCATCTGAAGAAAAGCAAGTTCTAAGAGTAGACGGTGGTGCGCAGTGACGTAGCCAGAAATTTTTTTCAGTGGGGGACGGGGGTGTTTAGGTGGCTGAGATGTCCGTGACTTATGATGCGGAAGGGTGCAGGGGGCGTCAAAATGCATGTGCGTATTATATATAGTCTTGGCTGGAGTTCCTGGGGGGTGGGGGAGGGACAGGGGCTGAAGCCCCACGAGCCTTTCCTTTGTCACCGCCAGCGGTGGTGTGGAACGGTATGGAATGCCTCTGCCAAGTCAATCAATATAATATCGCTGTGTACTGGGGTATGCTCGTTAAAATGAAGGCCTGTTGCAAACTGGAATACTTGGCTGGTGCAAGAGTGATACATCTCTAAAACCATGGTGGTAGGATAAAAATAATTTATGTTAGTCCCCGGTGTGAGAATATATAAACATAGAGTACAGGTAAAGTTCAAGGCACACTGCCGAAATTGGGCGAAAGTTAGAAAAATTTGATGGGTGTCAGGTTTGAAATGGGGATTACTTTTGCGAAACGACAGTCGGATTGTACTTCACTAGAGTCTTTGCTTTGCTAAAAAGAAGTAAAAATATATTTGATGATGAGTGCTTTATTAGTTTAAAAAATTTGCAAAGATGCCATCATTTCCAGGGGAGCTGTATGAGGGAAAGATTAATATTAGTTTGAGAATTCACTCGGATCTAAATAAAACCGGGCGCATAACCGTTTCGGGATAAGACGAACAGTACATTGGAAGTGGGAAGATTTTGCGGGTGAAGCCGTTGGAAATAATGAATCTAAGCTTGAAGCTTGTCCTGTTCATGTAGATATACAGGGCTATTCCAAATTCTTTTGGGGTTAAATATTTTCCTAAACCTTATAGAATTGGCAAAAATATTCTGCAATACGTCTACAGAAAAAAAATTTTGTTTTGCATCCTTCATATTGGGTTTGCACTTATTTTGCGAAACAGCTAGTGATATGATAACCAAACTTCCAAACTATCACTTTCTTCGCATTTGAGAATAACATTTTCTTTTCATTTAAAATTCGATTTAAACTTTACCTAAACCAGGGAAGTGCATGTTCATATCGATTGAAGGCCATAAAAAGAAATGTTTAATTAATTATATGAATGTGTCTTAATTAGAAGTCAATTTTCGATTACGGTACGTTTCGCAGAGAATATTTGTCATTACATTTCGAATTTAGCTACTGCCGATGTTTTGCCATCGATGTTGGTGAGTCGAAAAGCGAATATTGTTTTCGGTATATCTACGCAGCCATGTATTTGTTACAATGTCTTATTATGAATCGTAACATGGTGTCTGATATTCTCGATAATACTAACAGACATGACATATTCTAAATTAGTAGTAAGAAATAAATATAATGTAACATTTTTGCTCGTTGATGAGGTGATCATTTGTCGGAGGTGGTACACACTGATAATTGAAAGTAACTCCGTACACTGAAGGTTATTTCCACATTCAGAAATGGGCGTTAACGTAGGCATATTTATTTCGGGAAAGCAAACGTTGCCATCCAAAAAGCAGGGGTGATTAGAAAATGTTTGGTTAGTGTTCCAAGTACATTGTATCAATAATTATTTCATATTGTGCGATGAAGGTAAGGTGAGCGATAGCATAAATCTACTAAGACACTGCGGAAATCAAGTTTATTACGAATCCACAGAATTTGAACAGCAGTAGAGCATTCTATTGTGGAGCATATTTTCTGGGTTCCGGGTTCCCGGATAAATCCGGAATAATCCGAAAAACACTCGCCGGTAAAAGTTTCGTCTACTCGGGTTTTTCTGAACAAATACGTCTTTTAAATTAACGACGGCAAAAAACAAGAAGGAAAAAAGAATCGTGAAATGTGGACATTGATAACGTTAAAACGACCGATGAA